GTATAAAACAATAATAAAAATTTACCATGCTGTCTTTGCAACACATCATAAATAATAACTAAATCCCAATACGTATTCTAAAAAAAAAAAAAATACCTGTACTATAAAAAAATGAAGAGTGCCTTGCGCAAAGAAGCTGCCTTGCTAATGAGTGATAAACAACAGTCGGAGTTTGGCGGGCCTTTTGTTTTCACGCATCTGGATCAGGAACAGGAGAAAAACTTTCTCAGGTTTCTTGCAGCATTTTTGCATCTCTGTTCAACATGAGCTAGAGAGCAAGTGATGGTAGTGTTGTATCAAAAGCTAACAGAAAGTGTATAAGCTTACCCGAGAAACTAGATGTGTTAAAATGATATGAAAAGGTGAGAGGTCTGCGGATATTATATGGAGCAAGCAATGAACATATTTTCTGAAGTGGATCCATTAACAGAACAAAGCATTAAAATTTATATAATGCAAATGACCTCTACATAAAGATGTATAATGAGAAAAGAAAGCAGCTGTGCAAGGTTCTTTCGACAGCTTTATTATTCGAAGGCCTAAACCATCAACTTCAGCTACACCATCAAATTCAGCATCATAAGCAGATTCAACATCAACTTCAGGTTCAGTAACAGTTTCAGCAACAGATTTATGGGAAGCTACAGCTTCAGCCAGAGTTGAACCTGATGACTTCGTCATCCAAGTAAAAACTCGCACAATATTCATTGGCTGTCCTTATGTTTTAAACTTTACCACCATTGGTAAGTAGAATTATTGTTTTATATTCGAAAATATTATTTAAAACATATATGAACAGTAAATAAGTGTTGCTTTCATATTCATATGAAGAGAAATGAGGATATGTTTTCACGTGTCCACACTTACTGTTCATACGTTGGCGTTCCCAATCGTCTCGCTTTATTTCTTTACCATAAGTGGTTAGTTACTTCTAGTGTTCCATTTATTAACATTAAATAACATTACTTAAAACATACATACAGATATTAAATTTTTTTTAAATTAGGTTCACTAAAGCTACAACCAGGGTCTTATTTTCTTCAGTTTCTTATGTGGAACCATTGTCACTCATAAAAATAATGCCGTCTTGTTTCCTCGTGTGTGTATTAATATTCTATGTATTATTAATGAATTGCATTGTTCATTTCACATATATAAACACTAATTCAATCAAATACATATTCAGTAATAAACATTATGTGAATCTTTTGTACATATTCTCAAGATAAATGACCTTGTTTCCTTGAGTGCGCACGTATACATTGGCGTTCCACTATCAGTCTCACTTTTTCTTTAATATCACTGGTTACTTCTACTGTACATTAAAGAACATTAATTAAAAAATACATATTTTTTACATTAATTTTACTACAACAACAACAACCAGGGTCTTATTTTCTTCAGTTTCAGATGGATAACTGACATTATGGGTGTAAACACTGACAACAATGCCGTCTCTTATCCTCTTGTGTGTTTTAATATTCTACGTATTATTAATGAATTGTATTGTTCATTTCGCAAATATAAAGATTAATTCAATCAAATACATAGTCATTAATAAACAATAATGAATCTATTGTACATATTCTAAAGGAGATAAATGACGCGGTATCCTTAAATGTGCACGTACTGTATATGTTGGCGTTCCCAATCCATCTCTTTTTTTTCCTTTGCCATTAGTAGTTAGCCACTTCTGTTCCATTTATTAACATTAAATAACATTACTTAAAACATATACTGCATATTAATTTTTTTACATTAATTTTACTACAGCTACAATCAGGGTCTTATTTTCTTCATTTTCTCGTGTAGAACTATCGTCCCGGACTCCCGGCTGTAAACACAAACAGAAACAATGGCGTTCCATCTCCTCTAGTGTGACCATATTGTTACTCATTTATATTGTACAAGGTGCATTCAGAAACATTATTTTAAGAATATAGTTTGCATTTTTCATTACAGTGATCCCTCGGTTAACGAGCGCCTCGGTTAACAAAACTTCTGTTAACGAATTACCTTCCATAAGATTCTTCACTCGGTTAACGAAAAAATTTCGGTTAACGAATTCCTTACAAATTTTTCCCAACGTGTTTTCGCCTGCATTTGCTTGCTCACCAGCTGTAGTATTAGTCCGCCAATACAGTAATCGGTTTTAGGGCTTAAATTCCTGACCATTTTAGTAAATATCAAGAAGGTTGTACTATTCAATAATTCTAAAAGTATTATATTAAATTTTTTATTCATTTTAACAATTATTGAACATAATTGAAGTACAGGAAACTAGATTTTTGCGTGCCAAACAGCCACTCAATACACCAAGCTTGGTGTCAGTTTGTTTACCGGTTCAGCGGAAGGAACATCTTGTTTGAGACTCTTCAACATAAATGCCATTTTTCTGTGTTTCCAGTCAAATTATTGGTCATTTTGAAATATATTTTACATATTGATAATATATAGCATAGTGCAGTGTTGATTTAAAGAAAATAATCTTGAATTACACCAAGTGAACTAAAATTTTATGGGTGAAATGGCAGCATGGGGTGACTTCTCTTCCACTCCATTGCCTTCTCTTCTCCCGTCTCCTCCACCCCCATTCTAATTCCCATCATTATCATCATCAACCAGGAGCCTTCTACATGCACACCTCAAAGTAAGTGTACTTTACTGCATTTATTTTTAGTTTGTATGTAATTTTCGGTGAGCTGGAACCAATTACCTAAAAACCCATTGAAACAATGGTTTCGGTTAACGAATTTTTCGGTTAACGAGCAACCTTCTGGAACGAATTGTGCTCGTTAACCGAGGGACCACTGGAATTGTATTATTTTTGGGGGAAAAAAGAGGGTAAAAAGCCACACAAAAGATATGAAAAGGTCACACTTGGAAACGCATCTCATTATTATTGCTCTATTTTAATGGTAATTAATGATTCGTGATACGATGATTCACCTTACACTGCAATATTGGAGGACACATTAACGTCGTTATTTGAGACTTTACTGTATTTTATCATTCTATTACTTCTTTTGTATTAAATGAAGTGATTTTAGATGTATATAAGGATTTAGGCTATGATATAGAGAGATTTTAAACATTATTTTGTAAGTACGATGCGCACATAGCATGTGTTCCGACTTACTTACAAATCCGACTTATGAACGTCCTCAGGAACGGAACCCGTTCGTAACCCGGGGACCCCCTGTATAGCACATCTGCCATCAACTGCCAGAGGCGAACCATTCCATATACTGTATGACACACATCCACAAATAAGTGGTTAAACACAGGCTTGCAAAATGATGCAATAAAATGTAACATGAAAGCATTAATACAGCCAGATAAAGCATAACATTTAGTCAGTAGAGGATGTCTTTGTCCTTTCCAAATAACAGCATAGCAGCATTAGTTATGTAGCAAAGTACTGTACTGTAAATATCATTCTCACACTCTCAAGGTTGGCTGGAATCAAGAACTTACAGATGCACCCATTTTGCCAGCACTTATTCACTCTCTGCTGTAACATATTTCTACAGTATCTCCCCTTTTCATTAGTCATAAGTCAAACTAACATTAATTTATCTTTGTCTTCCTGTCCAACAGATTTTCATTACTTTTGTTCACATTCAATATCAACTTCAAAAAATTCCTCTCACAACAGAACAGTTGCCTCCAAAAAACATATTCCCCAACCGATCAAGTTCTTAGTGAAGTAGGAATAAAAATAAAAACATTTAATTTGGGGTCCAAGATATTGGCATAATACAAATCTAAACAAAAGTACTTACAACACCACCACTAAATTGGTGAACTCTAAATTACAAGCCTCAATCTTTGTGATCATCTTCACACATAGGGAGAAGCTGATATGACATTAAATTCGATTTATCAGTTACTGTAAATAAATTTTGGTTCAAGAAATAACATGGGATTCATATCCAGAGATTTACAATCTTTAAAACTCTTCATTTTCTATTAATACCTGATGAAGTCTTACTTGCCCATGCAGTTGTTTTATCTAGAGAGCTGCTTAGTTTGTTCTTAAATTAGAAAACTGCACAAAAAGATATCTTGTTCTCTGAAATGCAAAGCGAAGTTCTTGTTCTCCTAGTCCTATTTTGACCCACTTATCTTCATTGTGATTGAATAACAACAGAGTTTTTAAATATAATGGATCTCAGGAAAGTTAAATGTGTACAGTATAAGCAGGGGACTAGTACAGTACACATCTTAACATATTGTATATGAAGCCTTTTTTTTTTGCATTTCAGCAGACTAATCAACAAGCTATGCTCTTTAGGACAGTTAAAAGAACATTGAAGAAATTAACCAACACCTTGCCAACATGTCATTAGCTGTCTCAGTTGTGAATGTTCTTTCAATTTAATGAATTCTAAGACAACACTACACAATGAAAAAAAAAAATTTCCCTAGAATAATTGTTAAACACATTTTCTTTTCTAGCTTATTAAAATTGTGTTTATAAGCATGGAAGTGCTGGCTAATATTTATTTTTCTTTGCATAACATAAAGATATAATACAGTACTGATTTGACAGACATACATAGACATTGTAATAAAAGAATGGCAAAGTGTAATTAAGTAAACTTAACAGGATTAATGACAACAATTCACCAAAGAGTAGGTGAAAGGGGAAGATCTTGGAGCAAGGTATATAACAGATCACAAGATGCACAGTGATAAAGGGGACTGGATAATTCCCAAACCCAGACCTGGAACCTAAATCTAACTAAATCTAACCAGACCTGTGGTTTTAGAGTGAAAATCTGGGTCTGCCTTCAGGTCTGAGTGCAGGGATTACTTTGGTCCGAATGATGAAAGTGTTAAGAGCAAGTTGTGCTTGGGCAACCCAGCTGTTTAGTAGGTAAAGGCATCTTAATTTGCTAAAATGGGCTGTTGTCCCAAGGAATGCTTGATTGGCACTACATCTACCTTTAGAGGAGAGAAGCCCCTGAAGGTTGATGTAAGTTTTACAGCCTCACCTGTAAATTGGATCACCAATGAACATGGAGTGCTAGACCTCAAGAATTGTGGACAATCCTGTTGGTTCACCACAAGAATTGGGACAGAGTCTACGCCTACATCTGTGGGCAATGAGTAAAAGAATAAAGCAAACATTAACAGATAAGTGTTGTTGGTAAATTAATGTGGATAGAATGCAAAGTAATGTATGAGAAAGTGATATAATTTCTTTGGAAATGATGTAGATGTGAACACAAGCACTTGAGGCTACAATGATCAATGAATAAACAAAACAAAGGAAGCTGAAAGACCATTCAAGGATAAATAGAAAAAAATACTGGAAATGTTTCATACAAGCTACAAAATTCATTCTGGTATATTTAAACTAATAATGCATTACAGAAGGATAAAGTTCAGATCACACTTCTATCCAATAAAACCATTCCCACATTCCAAGCAGGGTGGTACCCACAGACTTCTCATCAACCACTTCCATCACTGTGCATATCCACATGTTACTATGAAAGTTTTTAAACACTTGCCCAAAAATTTGAATTGTTAACTTGGCATTTTACAATAAATCAAAGCCTGTATGAAATGTAGTTATGAAAACAAATGTAAATAAAAGTAAAATAAAGCTGTCCCAGAAAACTGCATAGGCATAGCAAGTAAGGACATTCTGTAAAATAAATATTGACAGCAATAACCAAGGTTTTATATAAAACATCAATAAAGCAATTACTGAAGCATTATGTTGAGTTCAAATTGTTGCATACCATGTTAGACTACATTGTAACTGTGTCCAAAATGAAATCAAATCATTAATTGGAAAAGGTACCCTATTTAAAATTGTTCCCTTTGTTTACTTCAAGAACAGACTTCCTTCTAACAAGACCTGTACCTTGATAACAATATGGACTTCATCATCATACAAGGGTTGATACTAATGTCTAATGAGAATACCAAAAATATTACTTGCATACCTTGCCACAGTCACCTTTATGAATCAAATTATAAAATACTGTACTGGAAAATTTTTAGTTAACAGACGAGTTCTCAACAAAAATAGTGGAATTGACATACAGGTACTATACTGTACACACAGCCGAGTAACTTGTAATCATGTGAGCCGAGACAAATTGTCCATTGGTAAACAAATGGAATCAGTAATGAAGTAGCCAAAAATGTTAGATGGAGGACAGCCTATGACAGGAGGTTTTCTGGGGTAGAAAAGCACTATAATAACATGAAATAGTTGAAAAAGATCTTTTATAATCAGTTCTACACAATTAGAATTATGACAGTACAGTAAACACAAATAAGTTTGATTTATATTTTGGACACTTATTGTATATGGGATATGAAAATAATTAGTTAAATGAAAATATTTATTGAGAGCAACAAATTTATAGCCTTGGCATTGATGAAACTAGTCATACCATTGCATGATTAACAACAAACTTCTCTCTCACAACATTACATCACCATTCTATTAAATATACACATCATGGTTGGGTTTGTAAGGTATTTAAGAAATGGAAAATGCCCTCAATCTACTCTGCTTGTAGCTGAAGCCGTCTGTTATACTCACAAAGACTATACGGTTGATGTTAATCTTGTAATATCTCTTTTTTGTTATTTAAAAATTTGGGTTGTGAAAAAAATCACCCTTAAATACACACATACAAAATAAAACATTGGAGGGGGGCTGGACATTTCCACAAGTAACTAATATATATATACAATATAAATATGCAGATATAGCACACACCTGCCATTTGCCTACGTTCTGTATGTTCATTCACCTCCACACGACAAAACAAAATACTGTACTGAGGAGGCTCTGTATTTGTTCAGACTGTGAATGCACCATTAAGTACATAATCTTATTTTGACAACTATTTGGAAACCAACTGTCTCTATATACCATCTAAATGAACCTTTTTTGGTTTTTGCTTATTAAACCAAAAACATAAGACCAAATCATACCATCATGCCTTAAGAGTGATTAAAGAAGATTGAAGTGGTAATATCAATTCCACCAAAGGCCAAAGCGTTAGGTGTACGTCAGATGCTTAACACTCAGTCCCACGCTCAGTAAGAGTCCTTTTCTCCTGCAGTGTCCGCTCATTTGCTATATGTGTAGTCTCATTCATTCATATCATATCATATCATATCATTCAAGATATATTGAATATTCTTTGTGCAATTTGAAATAATGTACAATCTAAAATATTTTACACAATTTACAAAACACCAGGTAACATTTTTCAACAGTGTATTACACTTTCTCTTGGGCAAATGATAAAAAAAGAAAAAAAAGGAAAAAAAAAAAAGCAAATGAGGACTTTTGCCAGATTTCCTTCATGTTTCTTGCGTCAATGTCATATATATATATATGTATATATATCTGTGAAAATCCCAGGAAATTGTTTTAATGTTCTCATGTATCCCTTTTTTTCACACATTTTCAAACTTAAAACCATTTACTCGTTAACTCAAATGAGACTGATGAAAAATAGTACTCGTATATTGGAAAAAAAAATCACTACCCCATAATTGTTTAGTGTAATAGCCTCATTTCAAAACAAAAGCTTAAAAAAAGTTCACAAATAGTTACAACTTAATGCACAAAGACAATGTAGTATGTAAAATGTACTTATAATAAACTATCTTGCTTCCCTCCGGGTGCCACGTGCTACTTAATTAAGTGGATCTACATGAAAATGAATATCATTTTCATATACTGAGCTCCATCTTCTCTACCAGAGTTGAAGGGATTGTAACTGAAGTAGCTAATTTCACATAAAAGATCACAGGAATAGTCAGACTGCCAAACCTCTATACTGTATGAGGGTTCAATGCCTCAGTCACCCACTGCAGAGAATCAACCATCCTTTACACTAGCCCATCAGTACCTTTCATTAATGTCCCTTGTTAAACTGTCAATAAGATGAATGAAGTTCAATAAAGATGATTTTTTTAATGAAAAGTTAGAAAAAAGGAAACTTTAAGGAAAGAAGAAAAAGAAGAAAAAATAATTTCAAAATAAAAAATATATATTGTCATTGGACTGATTTATACCGAGCTCTATGTGAACTATCTACATGATTTTGTTAAATTTGTCTGGCCTAAGGCTGGAAAGGAGCCATGAGCGGCAGGCAGGGAGGGAGGGCACAAGGGAAGGTCTATGAGTTAGGCAGCAGTACTGTATGACCCCTGGAGTATCTGGCATCACCGTGAGAGGGAGTGTGAGCGTTCCCGAAGGTCACCAACAGCACTGTCACCTAACCGTTGGTGAGCTGGAATCTTGTCGAAGAATGGATGCCTGAAAAAATAAAAATATAATGTTATACAAGCTGTGATTAACCTTAACTTTTTATAATTTTTACAATGGCTAATGGCTAATGTGACCCATAAGCTGAAAGACTGATTATAATAATCAAACGAAAACTCTGTGGGTCTGAGACACTCTGACACTCATTATCCCAACAAAACTCAACAATCTTCCTTAGTTCCATCTTTCTCTCCTGTTCTTCCATACCCTTACTCATAACAGCAACCTCCATTTTTCTCAGGCATTTAGTCCTAATTTTAGACAAAATGAATGTTTCAATTAACAGTTACAAAAGCTGATGGAGCACATAAAGGTAACAACTAGAGAGTCAGCTGCCAGGGAGCAAGGCCAAGAGAGGTGGCAACCATCTAACATCTATGAATGTAAGATTTAATATGTGAATAAATTACCCAGTACTGATTAAAAGAAGGTAAGAATGATCATCAAAGTGATCAAACAATGACATTATCCAATTGTATAAGTAAAAAAAGTGACAGGAAGTAAAAATGCTTACCTAAGTGACTCCGTTAGGGTGACCCGCTGTGCTGGTTCATACTCCAGCATCTTGGAAATAAGGTCAAACAGCAGCCGATGGTCCTCATCTGATTTTGTCTGATAGCTCTATCAGCAAAAAATAAAAAAAATGATAATGATAATAATAATAAATAAATAAATAAATAAATAAAATAGAGAAAAAATATTAGTCCAGTCATTAGAAATGTATTTTGTTAAGACAGATAACCCATCCCTGTCTAATACCATGATCTGATATATGGGCTTAATTCAGGAATTAAGGATAGAAAGTGGAGAATACACATGGCAGAGAAAGTCTTACTAACCTAACAATAGACATGAAGAAATGTTAATGTCAGTACAGTAGTAAGATTATATTCAGATAGAGCCTACAGTAAAGACTAAAACTATTAAGGGTTAACCCTTTGACTTCCAACCTAGGGAAAAAGATGACATTCAAGAATTACACATTTGCTATTATAAGATCCATACTTATAGAATTAGTAATATGACTTTCCAGCATAAAGTTACCAACACTTATATTCTGAAGTTAAATGAAAGAAAAATAAACTTGGTAAGCATTTAAAATTAACACTAGATTCTCAAATATAATCAAGTCTATAATGTTTGAAAAATGTACAAGCAATATTATATAAGAACTGGACAAGTAACATTAATCAATGGTAAATAAACTTATAAGATTTCCTCTCATTAAAAGTTTGTCTGAAAGCTAACAAAAGTTCTATAAATCAAAATAAAATTTACCTGGTATATTGTTCACCTTATTATTTCTACACAGTTTTATACATACAGTACATATAAATTTTAATATGGGTTTCATGGTCATTCATGATACATTAACAAAGTTTTAGGTACATAATGTGAAAAAAAAAGACCACAAACTAACTGATCTGCCTATCCTCTTAAATCTATGAATACCTGTATGTTGTTCAGTATATCGAAACAGAAGGATTTCTCAAAAGATCAAAATAATGATGCCCATAAAAGTGGGAAGAATGACTCATGGCACAAATACAGGTAATAAGGTTGGCCCTTTTCCATGCAATACTGTACATACAGGTATCTTAACTGCTAGAAAAATGCAAATTCAGGCACACCTTTGAAGCAGTAAATTCCCTTTGTGCATTCCCTGAAATTTTAAATTGACAATGCAAAGCAAAAACCAATAGTTAAGACTAACATTAACATTATTCATTCAAAAGTTGAGGGTCATTTACACAGGGATACCTCTATTGCATAGTAAAAAAAAATGGCAAAAGAACAAGATAAACAGTATGCTACAAGTGCAACATGTTAAGGGATAAATAATAATTTGATGATAATAGCAAAAACAGAGATCAATTATGTATATATAAATGTCCAAACATACAACTAAAAGTAAACTCACCTATGAATTTCAACACAAAAACCTATCCCCTTTTACCACACACTTGCAACCACTTGTGTAAAACTTAATACATGTACACTATAAATACAAAAAATTTAACATCTAATAATTTGGGTAGGAATTTATTTCATATATAATACAGTATAATCAGGTTAAACAGATCAAATTGACTATAAATAATTCAATTTTTACTTTACTCACCCTTAGAGGTTTACAGTTTTCCCGGACATATCTGCCTGCTGAACTCTTTTCATCCCAGTCTAATTTGCCATGATAGAAGTATTTGGTCCGAGTCTTCCTACCCATCCTGTTAAATTGGTGCTTCACATAGAAGACTAAAAAAATATGGGAAAATTTGCTATTTCTATTTTAATTTAATTTAAAACAGAGAGGAAGAGGTGGTGAAATTGGCACTAAAGAATATATACAATAGTATATACTGTAGTATAGTAAATATGAGGTATCCAAATACAAGTCAGTCCACTCAGTATCTTGGACAAGCTCATCTCTTCTTTCATATAATCTCAAGAAGCAAACAGAGCAGAAAAATGTACAAAGCACCAGAAAGAGGTTGAAATAGCAAGTTAGGCAATATGAACACTTCCTCATACCCTCAACTAGTACATTATACTGTACAAAACAATCAACATTACTTCTGATACCTTGAGGGAATGACTATACAGAACAAGTGTTAAGTTTTTGAGAGTGCGTTCATTGATTTTGCAGTGAAACTGACTCTGAAATTTCAAAGCTCTAACCACTGAGAATGTAAATGATAAATTACAGATATAAAACCATCTGCAGTGAATGTATTACCTGTGTAGGGATGGGTCCTAGGATTCTTTCCATCATAGCTAAATGTTCCCGGTTATCATGTGTCTGGAATAATGTGATGCCCAGGTACAACTCAAACATTATACACCCAATGGACCAAACATCACAGGGTTGTTCCCATCCTAATTCTGAAAATGAGAAAATATATGAGTATATATATGGCACACTGCCTCTCTTTCAGCTAGAAGCCTATAACTGGTACTTCTTATTTGCCAAATTTCTGCCTTAATGTGCAAAATCACTTGATACAGCACTATTCAAACAGTATCAATCATCATCATCTTGTACTGAATATATAAACTTTTGATACATTTTTTTATCGTTTAATATCATAATTAGATTATTGGTATGATTATCTTATTATCTTTTATATACAGCACCTAACTCAAAGGGCTTCTTTTTGAGGCAAGGGGCACACTAGAACTCCAGGCTTATCTTCTTTGACCTCTCTATTCCTCATATCTGTTTTCATTTACTCTCCTGAATGTATTGTTCCACATTTCCCTCTCACACTGTAGTTAGGAACCCTCCTAACCAATACCACCACAGCCCTTGTACACTCTCACCACTGTCCTTTCCTTGGCACCCTTTTCATATGTCAAGGTATGCTAGGAGTGAACATCTATGTATCAGTCATACCCTATCTTGATATAAGCATGTTTAAGTCAATGAGAATGTTTTGAATGTTACAAAATAAATACAGTACAGTATAACCATTTTGTTGAAAGGTCACTAAGTGAAAAGAAAACAAATTCACAGTGTCAAGAATATGAGAAATGTTAACGGACCTAAAATAACTTCTGGCGCTCTATAGTGCCTTGTTGAAACTATGGTACTGTGATGCTCGTGATCAAACGTTGCACTGCCGAAGTCAATCAGCTGAATATCTGTTTTCATCACCGTTCTGATGTCTTGTTTCTGAAAGCATAATTCAATGATAAATAATTTGTAGCTTGTTAACATATACACCCAAAAAAAATGGTTTATGACTATAATCACTGATGCATTTTCATTTGATATGTGACAGAGTTGATAATATACATCTTCAAAATACAGTAAAATAATAACGACCTATATATTTCTTTCTTGGCTAATACAAACATGGGAAAACATAGACAAATCACCACATACAATAAAAAAAAACTTGCACAATAGGATGGAAAAAAAAAAAAAACATCTTAACATGCCCTATTATGTGATGCAAAGAAGGTATGTCTGAACATCTTTAAGAAACTGCAAAGAGGAACATGTCAGGGCTACTCACCTTTTTTGGATCATATGTTAAATTATAATCAGATTCAACAAAGAGAATGTTTTCTGGCTTGAGATCTGTGTGAGTCAATTTGTTGTCGTGGAGGAACTTGACTGCGTAACATAGTTGATAGGCGATGTGCCGAACTTGATCTAGGCCATAGGGACGGTAATTGTTGTCCTTCTGCAATGGAATACAAAACATATGTTGACTACAGAAAAATGCATACAGTATTACAGAAAGATGTGTACTGTATTACAGAAAACTCATAATGTTACAGAATAACTTATACAGTATTACAGAAAACTCATTTTACAGAAAACTGATAATACTACAGGAAAACTCTTGCAGGTACTATCAGTACGAATAAGGGTAATGTTACATTGCTTGAATGTACAGTACTGTACTGTACAATACATTACAAGATATATTGGAGAAGTGGTTTGCTGTACAATATGATCAACTCCATGAAACATCAGATTTAGTTTACTATACTGTACTGTACTGTACTGTACTGTAATAAATATAGTACAATAATTGGATGGACATTGCACTATGCGGAGTAAAAATAAAAAATAAAAAAATAAATAAAATAAAGACTGTACAATAGGTAACACTTGATCATCATCTCTTTTTCTTCCTTGCATAACACAACAGTATTGTGAACTCTAGGTTTTCCATTTCTTTTCTCTTTTTCATCAATTATTTGAAACTGATCCCATGAATCTGAATTCCTCAAGCCTCCAGACCTCCATTCACAGACTCTATCAGCACAGCATTATCTGCCTAATAATAAGTGGAACATCTTACACTTTGTATCACCATATTTCAATTTTGTTCCAGTCATCCAATCTTACTTTCATTTCATAAATTATCCATTCATTTAATCGATATACTGTACACCAGTGGTCCCTAACCTGTAGTTTGTGGGCGTCATGAAACCTGCGGAACCATATTATGGAGCCCACAAGGGTTCGATAGAAAATAGCTAATTGTTTGGGATTCTTTGTAAGAGTGATATTACTGAAAATATGTGATAACTTGATACAACTGTCGTGTACAGGACGTGTGTATTTACCCCAGACCAGGTCCAGAGAGAGAGCCAGCCTTCTTACTGGAGTAAGCACACACGTCCTGTCCAAGAGCAAATGTAAAAAGTATGTAACTGATAACAGTTAGAAGTGTAAAGCTGCAAATAATTGTACAATATATGTGTTTTTTTTTCTTGAATGTAGATACAGAGTTTTGGCACCCTCCACTATATTTACAATGATAAATGTGGCCCAGAGACTACAAAAGGTTGGGGACCACTCCTGTACACACTCTTCCTTTCCTAAAACCTTCCTGTTCACTGCCTTGAGTTGTTCTATAATGCTTCTTAATCCAGTCAATATCCTCTCATAAATGCCACCAATCCTGCTAAAATGACTAAATGTGCCTATGTTCTTACCATAATCCTTACTATCCTTGTCTTTGCACAATGAGAAAATAACCATCTTTCTCTAATCTTATGTCCACTTCCAAAGGTAAACAAGCCTTTTCCACATCCATTCAATCACTAATTTCTCTCCCACCTATAGTCATTTCACTTACCACACCATCTATACATCAGTACTTATTATCACATAATTTATCACCTGATTAACTCTTTTTAATGTATCTTCTCATCACTTGTATCTTATCTATTATATGCATACTTTACTATACATGTATTCATTCAGGATGATTTAACAAGCAAAGGAAAGGGTTGTGTGTCTATGATAACCTGCAAATTTTTGAAACCCTTGATGGCATGATTCTCATTTGTTGTGTTTTACAGTACAGTACAGTGGCACCTACTTTACCAGCAACAGAGTTCTTCAACAATTATTCTAAGTTTTCATAAGTCTTTAACAGTTGGGAGTGGCTGAAACCTTTAATATGACAACCATCTACGGAGATTTAAAAAATGAAATTCTAACATGTAAATATCTTTAGCAAAAAATATAAACGGTTCCTCTTGAATCTTTAGTACTGCAGTACAGTACTGAATAATGCACAGACAAGTGCCTCGAGTCAGTGAATACAATTCTTGGCAAAATATTCTATATATAGGCCTAAATGCTTATTTGTGGAAAATACACCAACTCACAGGCTTTGCCATGTTCCCCCACCCCCTTTGATACTCCTGGATCCACCCCTGGCCTTCCACAAGCCCTGAACCATTTCAGTGGATGCTAATTAACAGGTTGAAATATAAACTTATTTTTATTTATTCAGTGAGCATACAGTACTGCATAGCTAAAATATGAGAGAACATACAACTTATTTACTCACAACTCCCTATTACCGAGTCAGTACTTACCAAGAAGTCAAATACACTAAGGCGAGGCATGTCGGCCGATCACCACTTCGTGGTAGTCAAACCAGCTGAGCATCCGAACACACAAACTGCAAAATAATGATTTATTAAGAGCAAGATACAATTGTTGACTTATTTATGAACTGTAATCAGTCAATTTGTATTTGAGTCATACAACAGACTCAATATACAGTACTTGTACAGTGGTCTGGTTGTGGCGCCTCACAGTTCAAATTCCTCCTCAAGATTCTTAACGGTTCAAAATAATTCCCTCAGTTATGAGTTTCTTGAAACCCGACCTCAACAAGTTTGGCTTGCATAGAGTCAACCAGCAGTATTAGTCCGCCAATACATTAATCGGTTCTGGGAAGCATTCCTTACTATTTTGGTAAATATCAAAGTTTATATATTCAATAATTTTAAAAGTTTAATAACCATTTTTGATCCATTTTAACAATTATTGAACATAATTGAGAAAATCAGTGACTAGTTTAATCTGGCAGTGTCAGCCTGTAACACAACGACAGGTTAGTCTCTCTGTGTTTCACTGGGTAACATCTTGGCAGAGACTCTCCAACTAAACGTTTTTTTTCTGTGTTTCCTATGGAGATTATTGGGTGGGTTTTAAATTTATTTTACATACTGACAATATACAGAATAGCGAGTGCAGTGTTATTTAAAAATCTTCTTTATTTACAACAGTTCCTTTAAAAACACGTGTTGACATTGTTTAGATCAACATGAGACCTCAGAGATCGAAAAAGCGATTTCAATCCAAACCAAGCAGGAAATCAGAAAAAAAACATAGACAAGGCAGCATTAGAACAAATCGCCAATGCAAAGGGCTGTGTAGAAGAACTCGGCCCGTCACACTGTGTCGACAATTCTTGCACAGAAAGACAAATTTAAAAAAGTGAAAGTGAGAGACAAATCTACAAGTGTTTAAAAGTAGATCCCTAATTGCAGAAACTGAGAGGTTACTTATCATCTGGATTAGGGAAAAACAGATGAAAGGTGATTCAGTTTCTACTGAATTAATTTGTGAAAGAGCCAGGGAGATTTACAAACATTTAAAGACAGATCAACCTGGTTCTCCAGGCACAGAATTTGAAGATTTTCGGGCCAGCAAAGGCTGGTTCGAAAAATTTAAGAAAAGAAGTGACATTTTCAGTGTTGTTAGGCATGGTGAAGCTGCTAGTGCTGATAAGGAAGGGGCAGCAAAGTTTTTAGAGGAGTTTAAAAAACTGATGGAAGAAGAAAATTATCTTCCACAGCAAGTGTTCAATGTGGACGAAACTGGGTTGTTCTGGAAAAAGATGCCCAAAAGAACATTCATCACCAGAGATGAAGCCTCTTTACCTGGGCATAAACCCATGAAAGACCGTCTCACTCTATTGCTTGGTGCCAATGCTTCAGGGGATTTCCGACTGAAGTCTATGCTTGTCTACCACTCTGAAAACCCCAGGGTGTTCAAGCAACAGAAAGTGGTAAGAACAAAGCTTGGAGTTTATTGGAAGTCCAACCGTAAGGCATGGGTGACAAGACAGCTCTTTAATGAATGGGCTGTTGAGGTGTTTTGCCCTTCTGTCAAGAGCTACCTAACCACCAATAAACTCCCTTTAAAGGCTCTTCTCCTCATGGATAATGCTCCTGGTCATGACCCTGACCTTGCGAGAAATTTGGAATATCAATTTGACTTTGTGAAAGTGTTGTTTATGCCTCCCAACACTACATCAATCATACAGCCAATGGACCAGAATGTGATCAGCAACTTCAAAAAGTTGTACATGAAGAAAATGTTTAGGAGATGTCATCAGGCAACTTCCAATGATCCTGAACTAACACTGGCACAGTTCTGGTAGACACAATTCAACATCCTGGAGGCTGTAAAATTGATTGTGTCATCACGGCAAGAAGTCTCCACTAGATCCCTCAATTCTTCATGGAAAGCACTGTGGCCATCAGTAGTCCATGATTTTGAGGGATTTGAGGAAGAAACAGAGTTGGACCAGGAGATTGTGTCCATTGGTCAGTCATTGGGCCTTGAAGTGGAGGAGGAGGATGTGGAAGAGCTTGTGATGTCTCATGAGGAGGAACTTACTCCTGATGACTTGAAGCAACTGGATGAGATGTTACAGGTAGAGGCTGACAGTGGTGAGGAGGAAATTGAAAGTGATGACCATATGTCAGCTAAACAGTTGAAAGATGTGATTTACCACTGGGAGAAGTTCAGGGAACTGGCTTCAAAGCACCCAGATGTGGAAAAAACTGAACTAACTTTGTGTCATGTTGAGGACTCGGTGGTCTCCTTCTTTAAGCACAAGTTAATGGTGAGATGCCCCACAGGCCACAATTGACACTTTCTTCAGTAAAAGGCAGAGGGAACAAGATGCTATCCCTCAGCCTTCCACTTCAAGAAGGAGAGAGGATGTTCATGGTGGAGAATCTGTCAGTCCAGAGGTTCCTGACATTTTCATGGAAGGTGACTCACCTTCCAAGAAGCAGTAAAATGCTTCTCCTCCACCTCCACTTCCTTCTCTTCTCCCTTCTCCTCCTCCACCTCCCACTTCAAATTCACATCATCATCATCATCCAGGAGCATTCTACATACACACCTCAAAGTAAGTGAACTTTTCTACCTTTTTTGTTGAATTTAGACAATTTTCGGTGAGCTGGAACCAATTTCCCAAAAACCCATTGAAACAATGGTTTCGGTAAACGAGCAACCTGCTGGAATGGATTGTGCTCGTTAACCGAGGGGCCACTGTATCTAGACGGTCCGTCCCTCGTAACGATCTTCAAGAGTGAAGTGCTTCCCCATCTGGAGTACTGTTACCCCGTCTGGTCCCCGAGATATACTAGGGAGTGTCAGTTGGTTGAAAATGTTCAAAGGAGGGCCACCAGACTGGTGCCTACACTTCGGCACCTCAGCTACCCTGAGAGATTGGAGCGCCTGAACTTGCCAAGCTTACACCACAGATGGGCAAGGGGTGACCTAATTGAGGTGTCTATGTTTGTCTTTGATACCCCCAAAATGTTCTACACTACTGAGGGTATACGCAAAAACTTGTTATCTTGAAAATAGGTTCTTATTCTCGTACGGGAGATATACAGAGGAACTAATAGACAGTCGGCTTCCACACCATAAGGACTAGCGGTCTCAACTCTCTGTATCACTCCGTGCTGGCATGTACAGATGCCAGCATTCACAAGCTGAATACATAATATGTAAATATGATAATTCACATACATAACATGGTGCATAATAAATGGAAATATTACATAGGATTAATATATGTTCTGTAATACTTTACTATACATAATTAATAGAGTAGTATAAGAATACACAGCTTAAGGTACTACTTCGTGTCCATATTATACAAGGTGTATGAGCATCTCAAGGGGCACTACTCAATAGAGTGTCCTTACTCGGAGCTGGCGGACGCTCGTCCCACAAGGGGTCACAGATGAAGATTGAAGAACCACAAGTCCAGAAAACTGTAAGGGCAAACTTTTTTGGAGTGAGAGTTGTGAACTCTTGGAACAATCTACCAGAAAGTGTTGTAACGGCACCGAGTGTGAGCTCTTTCAAGACCAGACTTGACCAACACTGGAGCGGGTTCAGGTACATTCAGGAGCCGGTGCATGCCCAGTACTTGCCAACAGTGCGTAACAGAGACGTGACCGATCGCCCAGGAGGCTAACGAGCCAATCAGTGGTGAAGAGGATAAAAGTAAAAGTGAAAAGTAATGAGCATATTGAAATTATTGTCAATTTTGTATTTAAGATTATCATTAATCTTAAAGGAATAAGTTGTCAATTGCGGAAAACTTTGAAATGTAACTTATATTTCTGGGAGAACAGGATGCAGTGGTCGGAAGCTCCGCCCACAATAAATTGCCATTCTAGGCACTTGACATCAATTTAATTCTTGCATTGCAGAGCATCCTCCACCCGCTCTACCCCCCACCCGGGAGGTGGCACCAGCTCCATCTATCAGCAGGGAGAAGGCGAGCGCCTTGTAAACAATAACATTTCTAACCACACCCTGCAAAATACAGTGTACAGTACTTAGCAAATGCTGCAGCTTCTGAGAAGGGGGGGGGGGGGTTACTACTAAGAGCAGAGACGTTACCGAGAACAAATTAGGGATTGAATGTCATGTACACTAATACTGACACGTTCCTTAATAAGAGAGAGTAGTTTGAAACACTACTGAAGGCATACCAACCAGATATTGTGGGACTCGTCAAACTGCTGTACAAGAACAGGAGAATCAACCCAGAGGAATGTGAGTTCAGTATTGCTTGATATGACTCATTTACAAACCTTTCTCAAGAAATTTGCAAGAGGGGTGTGGTTATCTATGCTAAGCAAGACCTTAGAGCCAGCCAGGCGAGGGTACAGGGAGAGGATGTTTTTGAAGAGTCCAAGTGGTGTAAAATTAAATTAAAAGGAAGGGACTTACTTATTGTCGGGTGTATCTACAGATCCCCAAACTGTGGCCCACTAAATCAAAGGAACTTAAGAGCCTTAATAGACAACATGGCGATGCTCAACCCTACCCACCACCTTATCATGGGGGACTTTAACTATGGCGACATCGACTGGAGAAACGAGTTCACCCCAAATGACTTGAATAACCCTGCTACTCTTTTTTAGAAACTCTGAGAGATAATTTTATGTTCCAACATGTTAGAGACCCGACACATTAGAGGGGAGCAAACATCCAAGCCACTAGACCTCATAACAAGCGAAGAGGGTATGGTGGCCAAACTGGAACACCTTGCTCCAGTTGGCATCAGTCACCATATAGTGTTGTCATTCAGATTTAAGTGTTACCTAGTTTAAGATAAGGCCAGGCCAAGGTGCAAATATTACAAGGGAAATTAGAACGGGATGAGAGAAGAGATGAGGGGGTATCCACTGGCCTGACTTATTAAAGCAGAAGAACGCAGTCACTACGCTGAATATCATAAATAATAAAGTGACCCATTTGATCGATAAATATATACCCAAGAAAAAACCCAGTGCCTCTAGGA